ACACACACACACACACACACACACGACGGGCCGACTGTGGATGAACGACAGCGAGCAGGAAGCAAAGAGCTGCATCGATCTGTCGATTGACAGGAAATCTAAATAATCCGCCGTTGAGATGATCGACGTGTTCGAGTCTTCAAGCAGCAGCGAGTTGATGTTTATGAACAAAGCGCTGATCTTTTAGTCCGGCTTTAGCTTGATTTGATGGATTTTATTAATTTATGATTCTTTTAGGAACTATTTGGTCATTTTATCGTTTACTGCTACATTTTTATAAATGATTTTTTATGAGTTTTTCTTTTTTGTCCTTTACCTACTGATCTACATTTTTATTTAAATTTGTAAAAATTTATATTTGACATATTTCCAATACATATTTGTAATACAATACTATTATTAATATCTAATATAGAATTACATTTAATTTAAATTATTGTTTTTTGTGTTTCCTCAATTTCCAAACTTTCTCAGTCTTTGCTGGGATATTTTTATATTTTTTTATATTGTTTTATTGCATTTTTATTCCTTTTATCTGTAAAGCACTTTGTGTTACATTTATTATTTTTTTAAAATCATAAAGTCTTTCTGATTGATTGATTAATTGAATAATTCAAGCAAAATGTCCAAAATCACACAGTTATACAGGGTATAACACGCAGCCTTCCATGAGAGGAAAATGACTTTTTTTCCAGTTTTGGGCTTTTTTTCTGACATAATACCTACTTTCTGACTTCTCATAGACTAAATTATTTATCTGTTAAATAAATCTGTGACATTTTTTGTTAGGAAATGAGCTGAATGCAAAGTAAAATAAAATAATGTGGCACCACATTAAGTCGGAGCAGCGCCGGTGTTCTGACACTGGAGTCAGACTATAGCTCCTGAGGCGATCATCTAATTATGTGTGCTTGTGTCACAGCTAAACTCTAAATAAACTCAATTAAACACTGACTTAAATACACACACAGTTCTTGTCTAAAGTTGAATTACTGAGAGGCAGGCAGGCAGGCGGGTTATGCAGCGGGAGGAAGCTGCATGTGCAGCGATTCCCGTGAGCACCGCCGGTCCTCCCCGTGCTGGACTCATGCTGGACTCATGCTTTATTCATGTGTGGGCTGCACACTGTCAGAGAGCTTCTGCTGGATAAAGGCTGCTGGAACTCATAGCTTCGTAAAAAAATAAAATAAAAAATTCTGTAACGGAGACGTAGAGCTTTCGTAAAAAAAGGACGGAGCTGTGAGGAGGTGAGCGGGAGAAGAGGAGGAAGTGTTCTGTCAGTAGGTGGAATACTTCCTGTAGCGAGGACGGAAATACGTGAGTATGAAGTTATAACTAGGATGGAATAACTTCTGAAAGATGAGAACATTAATAATAAACTCTGAGCAAAGAAAGAAAGAAAGAAAGAAAGAAAGAAAGAAAGAAAGAAAGAAAGAAAGAAAGAAAGAAGGAAAGAAAGAAAGAAAGAAAGAGGCCACTGTTGGTGTTTGTATTTGCTGCCTTTATTTTTTAACGTCGTGTAGATTTAAGGTGTTAATTAAGAATCATTGCTAAGCTTGTTTTTTATAATTTATTTGCCATTTACACACATGTCACAGCTCTGCTTGCTAATAACTGAGGAAAACCCACGGTGCAGTTAAAAGCGTTTAGTTTGGATCTTTTAGGCTAACTCTGTAAATCACCTCCACAGAGCTGAGCCGTGGTCACACATCATCTAATATCACTAATTACTGTTAGCTTTAGACGTGATTAAAACTGTTATTTGAACACTTCAGAGATGAACTAAAAAGATGAATCAGAGCTGGTTTTTAAAACAAACTGAAACATGATTCCCTTGATTCCAGTTCTGGGGTTTCAGCTGCTCGATGCTGAATCAACCCTCTGAGCCCCAAAACCCCCGATGGGTTCTGATGTTATGAGCATCAGAACCCCCGATGGGTTCTGATGTTATGAGCATCAGCAGTTATCAGAACCAGAAACTATGAAACCAGAAGAACTGTCGCCTCTTCAGCTTTCCCTGAACGTTTCATGAAAAACAACCAAAATCAAAGCTAAGAATGGTGTCATTTAAAGAAAAAAAACCTTAATTCTAGATGTCTCATTAAAGCATGTTTGGGTTAATAAACTGTTTTTGGTGATCAGATTCTGTAAAAAAAAAAAAAAAAGGCACCAAAAACCAAGCCAGCGCTCCTTGATCCAACCAAGAGCCTAACAGTGACTCACATGATAAAAGTTTGTGGCTGAACCAGGATGAGCTGCAGGTTGTGTTCAGCAGACCGGAGACGAGCACGCAAACTAATCAAATAGTAAAATATCTGTTATATTCAGAGCGAGGCTTTTCCCTCATTATTGGTGACACCTGTAGAGAAAATGTTGTGCATGTTCCAGGTTTTTTCTTCTATTTTTGTAAACTGAATAATCAAAGAAACTCCACTGAAGTTATTTTGTGATTCGTCATCTCTGTGCTTCTAGTCACGCTTGTTCTGTTTCCATAGAGGCGCAGAACTTTAAATTATAGAGAAAATGAGCATACAGTGAATAAAAATGCAACAGGACACCAAAACCTCACAGGGTTAACCTGCTGGTTGCTGACTGGTCACCGGTTGGTGCTGGTAGGCAGCGAGCAACGTGGACCTTTAGACTGAAAACTTCACACCTGCAGCCAAAAAACGAGGCGAATGAGAGCAACGCTGAACCGAACCCATAAAGCTGAACGCCGTAAAAAACAGAAACAATGAGCTGAAGGCTTATAAAACGCTCCAGAGAGCCGAGGAGCCTTTTGCATACACATATTTACGGGATTATTATTGTGAAACTATTGATTTTAGCCACTTTAAGTGCGAGCTTAAATAAGAGCATAAAACTCACTTCGTTGGAGACGTCCACCACCAGATTGTCTTCGCTCTTGTCTCCATCGCTGTCCTGCAGAGCAAAGAGGACACAAAATATACCATCTGTCAGCATCCATCAGGATAACAGAGCTTTGTTTCTTCATCACCTACACACACGTACAGTACAGAGTGTGTGTGTGTGTGTGTG